GTAATGTTTACGTTGTGACTCCACCAGAGTCCACTGCCTTGGAAAGAATGGCACTGAGAGGCCTTTGGTAGATTACCTTAATTTATGTTAATAGACAATGGGATATTTTGGGGAAGTCCCCTTTTTTGAACAAGCATCATGTATGAAGGATATATATTATAATATTTTAGGGAGCCCCTGTACCTCTCAAGCCTATCCCATTGTGATATGTTTTTTCCATTTTTGGATATTAGGGGGTAAGCCCCCTCCCCCTTTTTTACATCTTCTGCTGAGCCTTGGGAACAAGGCCTTTTCTGCCGGTAAGAAAACCTGATCTTTGTTACAATAACACCTGTTTAAGGTAATACTCAGTTAACCAGTATTACCATTACTGGTATTGCCTGATGTAAGGCAAGATCTGTGGTTCATATACCTTGGGTTTGAGTCTCAGAATATACTTTTTTCTCTTTCTTTATTGGTTGGTTTAGACCTGTGGGGCGTTGGACTGTTGGGTCATTATTGTGCCCCCATATCTGGCCCCCTGGATGGCCCTTTGCCTTGGAGCGTTAGAGGAGGTCTGCCCTCTATGATTTGGAGGTCTACCGCTCCATGGTGCACATTAATACTATATGTAAGTCTCGGGATGTTTTTGTATGATTCTTTTCATATTTACATGATGTAATTTGGTATATTCAACATATGTATTTCTTTTTTAGATTTTACTACTAAGCCCCTGAAGTGATTGTTGTCGCAAAACATGTTGGGCCATTCTTCCAGCGGTCTAATGTCTCTCACCCCCATAGGACCTTCCTGGTGGTTATGTTATGTCTTATCACTGGTTTTGTTCCATATGGTGGGCTGTGGGACATTGTCTGCAGGGACATTGTACAATGACTTTTTAACTTGAAAGATGTTTTTTCATGACTTATTGTCAAAATAAAGTACAAGTGATTTTACTAACTGTGTTTATGGTTTCTGTGCCTCTAAAGTCCATGTGCACATCCTCCCCTTGCATTTTTTTTTTTCCTTTTTGTCTGGTTAACTAGGACGTGGCACTAATGTATCATATTTGGGAGTGACACGACACCTGAGTACACTCCAATCTCCCCCCTAAGTAATATAGGGTGGTATCACCCAGCCATTTAATCTACCATTTCAGGTGTATTTACATGTCATCAAAGATTATCATTCGTTTAATTTTTTGTGGAAATAGACTTTATAGGCACAGCATGGTCTGGGTTTATGAATGTGATACATACAGCATGTAATGGTACTAGCAGGGATGAGGACAGTTTTGAATAGATACTTTATCAAACTTAAACGATTATTGAAGAATTCTAATTTACATTGGCATATTGAATTTTTCAATTTGTATATTAGTGAAAATATTAATCCTGTGGGTCATAGGGTGCATCTGTATCCAACGGTTAAGAATGTGTCCTAGGGATTCAAGTTCTCACTAAATGTAGCATTGAATTTATTACTTTACTGGTTTCATACTACAAAACTGAAATGACCACCGTAGATCAGGAACTTATGTCACTTCATTCACATTAAGCAATTAAAAATAATTCTCTCTATGATTCCAAATGGCAGGAACTTAAGGAGTACCTAGCTAAAATTAATAAGGATATCATTACCAAAAAAGACAATCTATAAAGACCAAGCTGCTTTTGGGGAGGGCTTTGCCTATAGAGGTACCCCTAGGAATAAGACTGACTGGGTGATCCTCAGAATGATGAGACGGAATCAGACTCTTTCATTTCAGTTACAATCACTTAGATCATATGCTTCGGTACTATTATCTAACCCTTATAGCGGACCGCGTAAACGTCACCATATGGGGGGAAATCTCACTCACCAATCTAATTCTATTAAATGCCCCAACCTATTCCCAAACTGTCTGAGATGGGCACTTTCCCTTCCTATGCACTCACTGGAATCTGGGACCACGCTTTCCAATGTATCAACTTATATACTTGTATGGGCCACACAGGCCCTCAACATTATGACGGCACCCACTTCTGTTTCACAAGCTACATCAGCTTTATCCAACAAAAACACTAACACTAAACAATCTATTCAGAGAATACACTAGGGCATGGCGCTAATGATTTTTATTACCAAATCCACACAATCAAGGGGACAAGCAAAGTACTCTCGATACTTGCATGATACGTATGACCCCCCCCTGGAAGATCAATCATAGTTTTGCACCAATGACAACAAACTGAATGTAATTAACTTTACCACGGAATATCTTTCTAAACACTAATTAGCTGTCCTAAGTATGGGGTTAAGTTTTTGTCCCACTGCTAGATTTGATAAGTATGAAACTATAACGGATTTATGTCTGCTTGCGAGGAAGCTCACTTAACAGATTTCTTTGATATGGCTCGTATTAGGAATAAACAGGAAAAGGATCTTGTGGAACGTATAAAAAATTTCACGCAGGATTTTAGAATCCTTCAAGGCTTTATGTTGTTGCTAGATGAAAGTGAACCAGATAATCCAACGATTAGTACTACCTGTCCTGATTATGTCCCCCCTTCTAAACAATTTAAACTGAAGCCTACTAAGTTCCATGAACTTACAACTAATCCACGTATTTGGACATTTTTGATGGCTACTATTAATGATGTTAAACGTTTAATCTCTACAACTTTAGATACCAATATTACTCCTACGCAGAGGAAAGCTTTGAATCATCTTAAAAATTGAACCAGTCTGGTCATTAAACCATCTGACAAAGGAGGGAATATTGTTATGTCTACAGATCAATATGAGCATATGTTCCTTGCCATCTTAAATAATTCTCAATGGTATAAACTTATCCCAGCGTGGATGATACAACAGTTTTCTGTTGAATTTAAGGATCTTATCAATGGGGTCTTCCTTGAGGGCATCATTGATAAGGATATCTACAATTTTTTTTTTTTTTTAATATCTCACACCCCAGAGAAGCTATTTTCTACTCTTTACCAAAAATCCATAAAAATTTGTCTGCTCCACCAGGGAGACCCATTGGGGTTTACTAAAGCTGGAGAGTCCAAAATCAGACTCCCTTCTGCATAGAAACCAATCAGCTTCCAGGTTTCATTGCCAAAGCTTCATTGAACAAGCTGAGGTTAGAAGCTGATTGGTTTCTATGCAGAAGGAAGTCTGATTTTGGACTCTCCAGCTTTAGTAAATATACCCCATTGTCTCTGGAATAGGTTCCCTAGCTGAGAATGCTAGCAAGTTTGTGGACTTTTTTTTCTTGATACTCCATTTTAGAAGTCTTCCTTCCTATGTTAGGATACTCTTGACTGACTTAAACTTGTGGATGGTCTTTCTATTCCTTCGGATGCCATATTGGTTACCATAGATGTTGAAGCTTTGTAATCAAGCAACAACTTGATCTCTAAGAAAGGAGATGTGAAATGTGGATGTAAGCCAGGATGATATAAATGCTGTAAGACCCCTTTCACACAGGTGGTCCAATCACTGTCTGTCCAGCAGATCTGAACGGAAGCTCCATGCTACTCTATGGGCAAGCAGATGTAAAGGAATGTGCATCTATTTACATCCAATTACCTCCAAGTCTGTCTAGAGCCCACAAGTTTTTTTTGTTTTATTCCAACATTAACTTGATGGATCTGAGGTAGTAGGATGTAAATGGACATATGTTTGTTTATATTCTCCTACCCACAAACCTAATGTGGATTGTTAAATTGACACTAAACTGTCTTAAAAAAAAAATTCAAGTATGTATTTAAGTGCTTGTAAACCCTTACATATACCCAGTGAAGTGACTGTTTTAGGTGATTCAGAGAGATGAAACGAATCCTTCTACAGAGGTTGTGACTGTTTATCTGTAGTTTTCTCTTCATCCAAAGTGCTGAATTTATACAACTTGTCTGAGCTCTCAGAAAGCAGGGGGTGGAGAGCTGAAATTACACTCTGCAGAGGTCAGTAAGGAGAGCTGATTGGAGGGAAGAGACACCCCCTTCACACAGCTCACGGAAACAGAGCCGAGGCTGTCAATCTGCTGGAGGTCCCTCCCATCACCATTTTTCCCTTGGTGTCAGGAAAACTTGTCAGACTCATGCATATAGCAGAGGAATGAAGGATCAGACAAATGACACAGTGCTCTTTACTGAGACAAGTACACTATAGGGGGATATGCTTTTTTTCATGTTTGAGGTTTACAACCATGCATGTAGTTGTTCTATAGCAGGGGTCTCACAACTTTTCAAATGTCCTGGTCCCAGCATTGGTGACAAACATCGCCTCAGGGTTAGTGGTCAGTAGGAAAAAAGGAGTAGTGCCCCATAGTTGGTATTAGTGGGAGTAATAGTGCATCATTGTTGGTGTCAGTGGGAGAAATAGTTCCCCTATAGTTGGTTTTAGTGCGTGGTTTAGCACCCCACCATTAGCGTCAGCGGGAGGAATAGTACCTCGTCATTGGTGTCAGCGGGAGGAATAGTTCCCCATCATTGGTGACAGTCAAAGAAATAGTGCCCCATTGTGTTTTTTTTTTTTAATAATCACATATTTACTGAAGTATTACAGTAAATAAATACTATATAGAATCAAATATATCACAAAAAGAAATATTGAAAACGCAATCAAGTTCTGACACACAGGTCATAAGTATGTCGTCCCATATGATGTAGCGTACAGTATCTTATACAGCTCAGAATACAAAAAGTGAATAGAAAAAGAAACAATACTCTCATTAACCTGAGAAACATTCCCTGGGAAATATGTCCACAGCAAATATAGGGGGTCGCATCTAGGTGTGTGGGATGAATTGGGCTGCATGATAGGGAACCCTCTAGCTCTATATGGGACAAAACAAAGAGAGAACCACATAGTGCTCCATTGTGTCAGTGGGAGGAATACTGCCCCAATGGCTGGATAAAGGCTAGCAAAAGAGCCGCATCTGTCCCTTGGGCCCCAGTTTGGGGAGAGACCCCTGTTCTATAGTGAGTAATGTAACTAGTACACAGAGTACATATTGCCAAATGTATTGGGACATCCCTCCAAAATCATTGGATTTAGGTGTTCCAATCAGCTCCATGGCCACATGTGTATAAAAATCAAGCACCTAGGCATGCAGAATGCTTCTACAAACATTTGTGAAAGAATGGGTCGCTCTCAGGAGCTCAGTGAATTCAAGCGTGGTACTGTGATAGGTTGCTACCTGTGCAATAAGTCCATCTGTGAAATTTCCTTGCTACTAAATATTCCATGGTCAACTGTTAGTGGTATTATAACAAAGTAGAAGCAACTGGGATCAACAGCAACGTAAAATGACAGAACGGGGTGAAGCGCAGAGCACAGAAGTCACCAACTGTCTGCAGAGTCAATAGCTAAAGACCTCCAAACCTTGTGTGGCCTTCAGATTAGCACAACAGTGCATAGAGAGCTTCATAGAATGGGTTTCCATGACTCAGCAGCTGCATCCAAGCCTTACATCACCAAGTGCAATGCAAAGCATTGGATTCAGTAGTGTAAAGCACGCTGCCACTGGACACTAGAGCAGTGGAGATGTGTTCTCTGGAGTGACCAATCACGCTTCTCTGTATAGCAATCCAATCGATGTGTCTGGGTTTGGCGGTTGCCAGGAGAATGGTACTTGCCTGACTGCATTGTGCCAAGTGTAAAGTTTGGTGGAGGAGAGGTTATGGTGTGGGGTTGGCCCCTTAGTTCCAGTGAAGGGAACTCTTAAGGCATCAGCATACCAAGACATTTTGGACAATTTCATGCTCCCAACTTTGTGGGAACAGTTTGGGGATGGCTCCTTCCTGTTCCACATGACTGGGCACCAGTGCACAAAGCAAGGTCCATAAAGACATGGATGAGCGAGTTTGGGGTGGAGGAACTTGACTGGCCTACACAGAGTCCTGACCTCAACCCCATAGAACACCTTTGGGATGAATTAGAGCAGAGACAGTGAGCCAGGCCTTCTCGTCTGATATCAGTACCTGACCTCACAAATGCGCTTCTGGAAGAATGGTCAAACATTCCCATAGACACTCCTAAACCTTGTGGACAGTCTTCCCAGAAGAGTTGAAGCTGTTATAGCTGTAAAGGGTGGGCCAACTCCATATTGAACCCTACGGACTAAGCCTGGGATGCCATTAAAGTTCCTGTGTGTGTAAAGGCAGGCGTCCCAATACTTTTGGCTGTATGGTGTATAAGACACAGGACACCTCAATGTAAACAAGGAGCAGGTATGTATAACTTAAGCACTGTCCCTAACGCAGCAATGCTGAAACGGTATCAATCACGTTGTCTGCACTTGTTTTATCTCTCTCCCAGCCATAACCACAATCACTCCAGAGCTCCATTGTGGATAGACTACAAAACAAAGACCGCACACTTCCGCCATCACATTACAGCGCAGCTCCCTGGCATCATCAGAGTGCGCATGCCTCTTGGCGCGCGGCCGTTACGGCACTTCCGGTGCGCGGTTCCCGCACAGGGGATAACCATGGCTACGACCGGGTTCTCGTTCGGGGGCTCTTCTACCACCACCCTCAACCCGGCCACTGGGACAGCCACACCATTTTCCTTTGGAACAAATCCTGCTGCGAGGTGAGGAGGGGAGGTTGTGAAGAGAACCTGTCACCGGAGAAGTCAGCTGACAGGAGGACAGTGAATGACCGTTGTGCCCATGGTGCTGTGTGTGGAGTTGTGTCCCTGCCTCCTCCTATTGGGTGCAGTGTGTCTCCCATGGGGTCACGTGCTCACCTGTCATCCTCTGCTCCCTGTGGCGGTGATGCTGCAGAGGGGACAGCATGGCTCACCATGAGGCGCAGGCAGTGTTTATGTGGTCCATCTGCCCCTCTATTCTACAATGTATGTGAGGGTAGAGCCGTGTCTCTCAGGAATGGCTGAAGCCCAACTCCAGGATAGTCTTCTGTCTTGCAGGTTGAAGTGTATCTAAAGCAGTATCAAAGGCAAAGTCACAAATGTCATATATTGCAGCTTTCCAATCATTAGATGTGGCTGCATTAGTTTTCTGATTCGCACATGTGCAGATTGAAGTTCAGGTTTCCCAGCTAATTGATACAGTTCATCGGTTTAGGTCAGCATTTTATCCTGTTCTGATGATGTGCCGTTTAGAAACGTTTCCCATAGAAGTCAGTAGCTCGTAATCCCCACCTGAACCGGACCACACTGCTCAGAAATCAGACCGGACTCTTTTTCAGTCAGCACTGCCAGTGCACTGGACGCATGTGACCTGGTACCATAGGAAGCAGTGTTATTTCACATGTCATGCAGATTGGATGCGGTTCAAACCACATCCAAATCGCATATATGTGAACTGGCGCTTAGGCTTTTTCCCCTCTGTTTTCACCTGGTGATCTGGCCAATAACACGCTTATTCTGTCCTGTAGACCTGAAGAGGAACTTTAGCTCCTAATTGTTGCCACCATCTTTGGATATCCCCTCTGTGTGCAGATGTCTTCAAGAAGAGCTATAAGCAAAACCTTTTCCTCCCTTTTTTTTTTTTTTTTAATTTGGGATAGAGTAAGGGAGGGTATAACCCCTGTCAGATTTATTTTCACCATCTCTGTCCCATTCTGGAGATTTCCCTTAATTTTCTGTCCCATAGCCAATCAAGAAGTGAGGGACATCCCTGCAAATTAGGGGCGTCCCTAGGGGACCTGCAGGTCACCAGAAATACTGTCCCCAGTGGATTTACTTTTTTGGGGACAACCCAAAATGTGGGATTTGCTTTTACTTTCAATAATAATGGTAAACAGGACAAATAGAGAATCTCCTTAACGGGGGCACACACAGTAGTAAAAACCGACGGGTTGTAATCCATCTCCACTCTATCCAAAACTGTCTTTAGTTGTATTTTCTGGTGCAGCGCAAAAATGGTAATGAACATTTCTAATAATGAGAGGAAGATTTCCTATTTGTGTAAAAGGAGGAGGTAGAAACGAGGAAAGGAAAAATATGTTTGTGTGTGTGAGCCAGTGGACTCCTGTTGCTGTCTCAGCCAACGAGGAGGAAGAATCCCCAGTCAGCAGAGGCCGTTGACAACATTGCTGGATTGGAGGGGCCTCTGCACACAGGTTTTTTTTTTACCTTCAAGCATAGAATGCATGAAGCTAAAAAAGCTTGAGCCTTTAGAACCACTAACAATCGGGACCCAGAACTCCCTATTCCGTGTCACCTGATCGCTGTAATAGCCTATGATTGGTTACCACAGTGATCAGTCACTGTGAAGCCCTCCCCTGTGTTTTCTTTCCCTCTGAATAGAGGAGAGAGATATAAAATAAATACCTAGATTAAGGTTGATCTAGGTCAGGGCTAAAGGTCAGGATTTTTTTTTTTTTACATTTTTTAAAATTAGTATCTGTGTCAGACAGCGTTTTAGGTAGGAAAGAAAAGAAAAGCTATATGTGCACTATTGTTTCTGGGCTGTACTATGGGTACAAATAACATACACATATGTGGTATCGCTGCGATCATCAGGAGATGGAGAATTATTTTGGGTTGTTCTTTGGTGGTAGGTTATGGTAGTAACAAGAAACACACAACTAAATAAAAAAAAATATATATTTTTTTTGTTTTACTATTTTAGGTCAGTTTTCCTTTGAAAAACCGAAAAAAAAAAAATCAGGAGCTATCCTTTACAATTTACCACCGAATGAAAGCCCAGTTGGTCCTGAAAAAAAAAAGAACGTATAATCCACCTGGATACGCAAAGTAGTTGTGATGATATGTACAGTTTTACTAACACATCAAACGTGCAAAATTTTAACTTTGGCGTTAAGATTTGGTTTACCCTTAGGTGTAAAGGAGCTAAAAAAAAGTGGAGCATGCTGTATTCTGCAGAATGGTGCAATGGTCACCATGCTGCAGCCAATAGAACTTCATAAAATGTTACTTAGTGATATTTTAACCACTTGGCCTCTGGAAGGTTTTACCCCCTTCATGATCAGGGCATTTTTTTTTCGCTATTTAGCACTGCGTTATTTTACTGAGCAATTGCTTGGTCAGGCAACACTGTACACAAATGAAATCTATATCATTTGTTTCACTCAAATAGAGCTTTCCTATGGTGGTATTTATTCACCACTGGGTTTTTTGTTTATTATAAAAATGAAAAGTTTAAAATATATATTTTCTACTGTTTGCTTATAAAACATTAAAATCAAATTTCTACATACATTTAGGCCAAAATGTATTCTGCTACACATTATTGGTAAGAAAAATTCCAATAAGTATATATTGAAGTGGTAGTAAACCGCAGGTAATAAAAATAAAAAAAATCCCTGCAAGGTAATGTCATTGTTCTAGTATGCATTGATTACTATTACACATTATGAAGGACTTACCTTAAAACGAAGCCCTCCAGTAGCACGCTTTCACCATTGCAGAGGCTTCCATCTTCACCTGGTCTTCCTTCCGGGTTTGTGAACCCCGGCTATCTGACTGGCCGAGCCCGATGACGTGGCGTGGGAGTCCCGGGCCACAGCACAGTACTCCGAAGGAGCAGCACGAGTATGCCGTTCCTTCAGAGCACATGCGCCGGCTTTAAAAAAGAGCAAATATCTCCTAAATGGTGCAGGTTTAGGAGATATTCATTTTATCTACAGGTAAGCGTATAACAAAGTAAAAGTTGAAAATAAAAAGTTTACTACCACTTTGATTGTGTGTGAAAGTTACAGCATCTACAAACTATGGTATACAGTGCTCAGCATAAATGGGTACACCCCTTTTGAAAAATAAGATCGTAATCAATATCTCAATGAACACAAGAACAATGTCCAAAATATTGACAAAACTGAGTTTTGCAGAACATTTGTTTAGCTCATTACATGAAAGTAAGGTTAATAATATAAATTGGATTACAAAATCTTCAGTTTTACTCAAAGTAGTTGATGCAAAAATGAATACACCCCACAACAAAAACTACTAAATCCTAGTATTTTGTATGACCTCCATGATTTGTAAGGACAGCACCAAGTCTTCAAGGCATGGAATGAACAAGTTGGCGACATATTACAACAGCTATAATTTTTTCATTCTTTAACAACGACCTCTTCTAGAGCCTGGATGCTGGATGGAGAGTGATGCTCAACTTGTATCTTCAGAATTCCCCATAGGTGTTCGATTGGGTTCAGATCAGGAGACATACTTGGCCACTGAATCACTTTCACCCTGTTCTTCTTCAGAAATGCAACAGTGGCCTTAGATGTGTGTTTTGGATCATTGTCATGTTGGAAAAGTGCAAGACGACCAAGGGCACAGAGTGATGGTAGCGTCTTCTCTTTCAATATAGAGCAGTACATCTGTGAATTCATGATACCATCAATGAAATGCAGTTCCCCGACACCAGCAGCACTCATGCAACCCCTCGGAAGGACACTGCCACCACCATGTTTTAACTGTAGGCACCATGCATTTTTCTTTACTCCTCACCTTTGCAACGCCATACAGATTGGAAGCTATCAATTCTAAAAATATTTATCTTGGTCTTACCACTCCAGAGTACAGAATCCCAGTAGTCTTCTTTTTCAGCATGGACCCTGGCAAATTCTAGCTGGGCTTTTTTGTGCATGGGCTTTAGGAGAGGCTTCTTTGGTGGATGACACCCATGCATGCCATTCCTCTACAGTGTACTCCGTATTGTGTCACG